AATAAAAAACAAAATAAATTTCTACATTCAAAAATAAATAGTTTAAACACTCCTAGTCATAACTAAAGAATATATATATATATATATATACATATATATATATATATATATATATATATATATATATATATATATATATATATATATATATATATATATATATATATATATGTATATATATATATATATATATATATATATATATATATATATATATATATATATATATATATATATATATATATGTATGTATACATATATATCTATAAATTTCAATACGTATGTATGTTAGACCCATGGAAGTCGGCCTAACATACAATTTTTAATATATTTACTTTTTGTTTTTGTTAAAATCATTTCATATTTTAATACATTCGAATTTTAAAAGTTTTTTCCATTTCTAACTATTTATTGCTAAAATAATTAATAAAATACCTTATAATATTTTTTTAGTATTTAAATGAGCAAAATTTGATCAAATCAAGGGGGCTGTTAATTTTATATGGTCATAACTTTTAGGCACAATAATACAAATAAATTAAAATGAAAAATTGAAGGTTTATTTAGTATTAGATAGAGAAACTAAGCATTTTATCAAGTCATTGTCATCATGTTTTGGCAGAGGCAGTTAGCTTGTAGAGGAATTTTTGTTAACAATTCATGAAATTTTTTGCAAAACATTTAGAATTGACCAAAGCATGACCATAATTAAATTTAGTTAAAAAAAAAAAAAATTTAATGTATCTTGAAATTTCTAAAACAACTTCATGTTATTAGAGTAATAACATTCTAATAATGTTATTACTCAAGATTGTGAAAATTTATAATGATATGACCTTGAGCTAATTTCATTATAAACTATTAATAAAAGCAGGTTGATTTGATTCAAATAAATAGAGATTTTTTGAGTCAAGTCTTGAATCACTTATTTGATTTGATTCAAAATATTTAGGCTTAGCAGGGGCCTAATATATATATATATATATATATATATATATATATATATATATATATATATATATATATATATATATATATATATATATATATATATATATATATATATATATATATATATATATATATATATATATATCCACGACATGATATTAAATTAGTTTTTTGAGGTAGGTAAGATTTTTTAGGCCTTAAATTAGAGCACACATTGTTTTTGTCACGATTTTTTTATAAAACATTAAATTCAAAATCAACTAAATCGAAAACTAAAATGCTTTAATATTTTTAATACAAGTAAAATCTATATGCATTATGAAAATCCAAAATAAGATCTAAACATATTGATTTAGATACCAAAAAAAAATAATAATAATTAAACATTTTATCTTAATTTAAAAAAACAATCGGACTAAAGTTAAGTATATATTTCAAATAATATATTAAAACAATAATTTACCAAAGAAAAACCATAAAAAAAGCATTTCAATATTTTGCAGATCCACCTTTCTTAAATAAGGATTGAAGAAGGCAATTATCTAAAATTTCAATGTTTCTATCAGCATTAAGTCAACCTTCAAATAATTAATAGCATTTAAGTCCTGCATAATTCATGTAGGCCCAAAAGTCTACACTGCCATTACCTTGCTTGGTTGGTTTTCATGTACAATTCAAATCAAATTACTCTTGAGGTGATCGCCATAGCAGAACACGAAGCAATAACATATTTTTGCATATCTACCTCAACATTCATTTTGTCTGAGAATATAACATTTCACCACTTGCTGTCGTGTTTCATCAAGCAAATTAATTTTATTAATTAAAAACGTTTATCTCATTGTGTTGCCCACCAGATTATCCAGATCCATAATGTCATCTGTTTCAGTATAAGGTTTTCAAATATGTGAATATTCAATATTTAACTTATTGGCTATTTGACGAGGAGATAATACTTGGTTTTAAATAAAAATAGATTTGTAACATGTTTTTTCAGAGAATCTCAACCATGATTTTGGAGTTTCATGCTGTATTACTTCACTCGTTATGAGGCTTTTTCAATATCTAATTTCTTTGTGTTTTCATCAGTACTATTTCAAAATTAGAAATTTAGAGTTAATAAATGCTAAAGAAAATCAAATTAAATTATTAAAAAAAATATTACATTAATTTTAAAAATAAAGCAGTAAGCATTAATTTTTAACAAACAAAAAAAATTTAAAAAAATATAGTCGATGTTATAAAGTTACATATAATTAGGGATACAAATGAAATTTTATGGTAACAACTTATCCATTAAATAAAATACACGATACTTATTAATTAGAAATAATAAAATATTTAAAAAGCTAACTAGTTTTTAAAGTAATTTTAAGCAAACAGGATATATAAGTAAGAATACTCTAATTAATGGCCAATGGTGTATGTATCATATATATATATATATATATATATATATATATATATATATATATATATATATATATATATATATATATATATATATATATATATATATATATATATATATATATATATATATATATATATATATACTGTATTGTATTACATAGTATACTATGCTTGGACATATATTATTATTTTTAATATTTTATTATTTTTCAGAGTTTGATTTATATGCATTAATTGTGTTTGCATACAATTGTTGTAATCGTGTTGTAATATAATATGCACACAAATTTATTGGATACAAATTGTATATAATATATAGTTAAATGATTATGATATATTATAAAAACTATATTTTATAGTTTATATTACCTATATTATAAAAACAAATATAAACTAAATGCTATATAAACTATGTAACATAATACATTTATATTTAACTTATATATAAATATTTTATCTTACATACTTTATAAGTAACTAGTGAACTTTTTAGCCTTTTTTTTTTTTGCATTTATAGTATAGTCATTCACATATAATTATATATTATAATTTATATTATAATCATTCACATATAATTATATATATATATATATATATATATATATATATATATATATATATATATATATATATATATATATATATATATATATATATATATATATATATATTATTTTGTTTTTTATTTGTTTATCTCTCCATTGACTTTTTAACCTGCAAGTAGTGTTGGGTGAATTCTATTTTTGTTCAGAAAAAAATTGAATACTCAGATCTGAAAACAATTTCAAATCAAGATAAGACTATTCAAAATAAAAAAGTAAAAATTATTAAATTGTATCGCTCAGATTTTTAGAAAAACAGTTTTGAAAATGTAAACAAATCACGCTTTTAACAGTCAGATAAATGTAGCAGAGAATCACAGCTTTTCATATATTTAAACATCTTTATATTGTTTTTATCATTTTTGAATCAACAATTCAATTATCTTTATTATTATTTCATTCTATCAAAAATATGCAAATAATAACTACTAAGTAAAACTTTAAAAATATTGTTGCTACTCGAAAAAATTTTGGTATCTAAAGGCCGTCACCATCTTTAAAATTATAATATTTGAATTTGACACTGCGCTTGCGTATAATAACTTTCCACATCTAAACGACCGTGAAAGAAAGTGATGTATCTATGTAAAAGTCTACCGGTTAATTACCGATTAATCGCTATATTAGACTTTGTTCTATTGTCGTACGGTTGTATATCTTTCTGTTTTTAAAATGATTCAACCAGTTTTAATATTTTAGAAATACATTATCTATCTACATAATCTAGATATATTTAAATAGTATTACAATTTAGACGCTTAAAATAAGACTTATCCAAATAGACAATTTAAAATCTGTTTGGTCACGTTTCAAAGCCAAGGATAAAAAAACAAATATAGTTATTTATCTTGGGCATTAAAAGGTGATCAAGTAAATTTGAAATTATCTATGGACAAATTAGTGATTTTATAATCTCATAACAGTTTTGCTGAAACTGTTTCCTCTTCTTTGGAGAACTTGATTGTAAAATTTATCATTTCTTGGATATGGCCCATATAATATGGGCCATATCCAAGAAATGATAAATTTTACAATGATTTTAGTACAGTATGTAAATTTTTGAATATGGCATATTCAAAAATTTACATACTGTACTAAAATCAATAAGCATGTGAGTCCTAATAAGGTGCAAGAAAGAGAGAAAAGTCGAAAACTTAGTAAGCAATCTTAAGAAAAGTCGAAATCTTAGTAAAGTACTAAAAAGTAAAAAAATTGTTAAAACAATTATTTCTACCCATAATATGGGTAGAAATTATTTTACAATTCTTTTTGAAAATTAAACGTGAATAAATTGAGATATTTAAACCTCATTAATTTTTTCAACTTAACTACAATAATTGTTTCAACAATCTTTACTTTTGGGTGCTTTATATGAGAGAAGATTGCTTACTAAGTTTTTGATTTTTCTCTCTTTCTTGCACCTTATTAAGACTCACATGCTTATTGATTTTAGTACAGTATGTAAATTTTTGTTGGAAGTGAAATTTAATATCTTTTCATTACATCTACAGTAACATTTACAGACTTAAAATGTTTATCAAAAAATCATAGTTCAGCATAGTTAAGTTTATTTATGTCTCTTTACATGTTTTCTGTTTGCTCTATTTTGATTACACATGCTGTTTATTCTAAAAAATCATCAAAAATATGGAAACTTTCTTTGATATGGTAGGTTTCTATAAATACATTTCCTGTTCAAGCAGACTTACTGACAAATGATTAGCACTTTATTGACTTAAAGTTATTGAAATTTATTAAATCTGAATTAATAGAAATTTATTGAATTTTAAGCATTATCAAGACTCCTGGAAGACTGTATTTTATCTGACTATTGCTGCAAAATATATATTTGGCCAACCAGAAAAGAAAAATCTCTATATAAATTACTTTTAAATCTGGAGTAAAACTGTGGAATGTTTTAAATCTGTAGAATAAAAGTGTTGCACCATATACCAGCAGCAATTTTGAGAAATCAATAATTAAATTATATATTTTTGATTAAATAATATGTTTTTGAAGTTTCTCTTTATATTTGCATTTTTCTATCACTGCAATAGCATAAAAATTACTATGGCATTTGTTGAATTTACTGTTGTCATAAGCGCTTTAGTGGGTTTCATTAGCGGAATACTGGTTGCTCTATATTTTGGAATTCAGAAAAGAAATTCATTCCAACCAATTGTTGACGATAATAAATTGCCTGAGGTAATATTTATTGATGAGGTAGTTTTTATTAATGAGGTAATTTTTATTAAATTTTTATCTAAATCTTGAGTAAACTATATAATCTTATAAAATTTTAAGAAATTATGATAAATATTATGTTCGAGTTGAGTTCTTATTGGTTTATAAAAATTGAAAATTCTTTTTTGTTTAAAATCTTATATAATCTTTTTCTTAAACTTTAATCATTATATATATATATATATATATATATATATATATATATATATATATATATATATATATATATATATATATATATATATATATATATATATATATATATATATATATATATATATATATATATATATTATATATATATATATATATATATATATATATATATATATATATATATATATATATATATATATAAATGTGTTATGTGTATTACAAGTATATTATGCTTTTATCATGTTTTATAAATTTGTTTGAGTTTAGTATTTTATAAATATGTTTTTTTTTATGAATACATGTTTTTTATTTATTTTTTTTTTGTAAATTTTTTATTAAGATTACTTTTGTTGATTCTGGTGAGTATAAAATGGTTCTTGTGGTACGTCAAGACTTAGGAATGGGAAAAGGAAAAGCTGCAGCACAGGTACAAATAATATCAGTCTAAAGGCAACATTAAGAATGATGATCTGAATTTCATCAAATTAAATAAAATGCATAAATTAAATACATTTAGATAAAATAAAGTGTTTGTTCAAATCAAATAAGTTTTTAGTTTTACAGAAAACTAAAATTTATAAGTTCAGTGTTTCACTCTTTTTATAGTACTAAGCATTTATTATATATATATATATATTTATATATATATATATATATATATATATATATATATATATATATATATATATATATATATATATATATATATATATATATATATATATATATATATATATATATATATATATATATATATATATATATATATATATATATATATTAGGGTGGTGCTTAAAACAACTTTTTTGAGAAAAACCTGCTGGTACCCCCTAAATGTGTTTTATCTAATACAAAAACACTAGGTTTAAAATTTTTTTGAACAAAAATTATTTTTAGGGGTAGCTCAACGCCCTCAAAAATTTGACAGGTCCCTAATATTTTGAAAAAAAAACTTTTTCTAAAGTATGTCAACCTGGTACTCAAAAGAAGCGATATTATATAAAAACTTCAAAAATAATAATCATTTTACATAAAAAACATGCCTAAAAAAATTATTCTCAAAAAACCTGAAAATATTGACTTTTTTCATTTTCAGCTTAAAAACAATAGTTTTTATGCATTTATACCTGAAAAAATTATTTTTATAAAAAATTATTTTCATTTTTAAATTTTTTATATAATTTTGCTTATTTTGAGTACCAGGTTGACATACTTTAGAAAAAGTTTTTTTTTCAAAATATTAGGGACCCGTCAAATTTTTGAGGGCCTTGAGCTACCCATAAAAATATTTTTTGTTCAAAAAAATTTTAAACCTAGTGTTTTTGTATTAGATAAAACACATTTAGGGGGTACCAGCAGGTTTTTCTCAAAAAAGTTGTTTTAAGCATCACCCTAATATATATATATATATATATATATATATATATATATATATATATATATATATATATATATATATATATATATATATATATATATATATATATATATATATATATATATATATATATATATATATATATATATATATATATATATATATATATATATATATATATATATATATATATATATATATATATATATATATATATATATATATATATATATATATATATATATATATATATATATATATATATATATATATATATATATATATATATAATATATATATATATATATATATATATATATATATATATATATATATATATATATATATATATATATATATATATATATTTTTTTTTTTTTTGTTTTTGTTTCAGTTAATAGAATCAACTTTTACCTAAGCAATTGTAATGAAGTATAGTTAACCTGAATCAAGAAAATAAAATTTTTTAAGGTACAGACAGAAAAAGTAAATTCAAAAAATGAATTATATGAATAACTACTCTGGGAAACAAAAAAAAAACTTTTTTTAAATTCAATTGACATTAGGTTTTTCTAGATCATATTTTTGAGATGATCAAGAAAATGGAATCCATTTTGATCCTACACATCCAGATTCTTCTGAAATTTTAAATTTTATTTTTTCATCTTGAATCAGTTTTAAGCTATAGTTTTCGCACACTTTTAATTTCAAACATTCCTTTTTTGAATTGCGTAAATATAAGTTAATATTCATATTCAATTTACAGTTAAAAATAGAATTTAGATTGTATCTGTATTTTATCGCAGGATGTTTTCAATCTTCAAACAATCTTGTAGAAATGGTTTAAACAGTTTCTGTTACACTTGTGGTCATTATGTCACTATAAGAAAGAAGAGAAAAATAAATTCAAAATTTCTTACTGCTTACTACTTCTATTTTGGATTCAAGGCGCCTCAGTATAGTTGCACCAACTGCTACATGTGTTTGACTAAATGGCCGGGTGGAAAAAGACCAACTAGAATGCCATTTGTCATTCCTATAATATGGAAGGAGTCACAAGATCATACTACTGACTGCTATTTTTTTTCAACAAAAATCAAAGGACATTCTCTAAAGACAAAGGGCAAAATAATGTATCCAATTTGTGATTCAGCAAAGTTGCCAGTACCTCACAGTAACAGTCTGCCTATTCCAACTCCACCAAGTGTATTCAACCTCTTGCCCTCTCAAAATGCAGCAGACAAATCAAACAAAGAAAATGACGATGATGACTTTTTGCCTGAATCAGAATCAGCTTCTCACTTTATTAACCAACAGGAACTGAGCGATCTAATCAGAGACAAAATTGAAAGCTGAGGTTCTGGGTTCTCGACTATGAGAGTGACACTTGTTAACACCTGACACAAGAGTGGCCATTTACCGAAACAGACATGAAAGATACTCAAAATATTTCATCAAACAAATTAGTATCACCTTTTGTTTGAATGTTGAAGGATTGTTAACTGAACTTGGATGTGCCTATTCCTCTAATCAATGGCATCTCTTTATCGATTCCTCAAAATACTCTCTAGAGGCAGTATTAATTCATATTTGAGACAAATATCTTTCCATTCCAATAGCTCATGCAGTGGGACTGCGGGAAACTTATAAGACAATGAAAACTGTACTTGACTGTGTTAGCTATGGCAATCACATATGGGTTATTTGTAGTGACCTTAAAGTAGTTGCCCTGTTGATTGACTGCAGTTGGGTTTCACTAAGTTTATGTGTTTCCTCTGCCTCTGGGATAGCCAAGACACTAAAAATCATTAAAAGACACTAAAAATCAGCATATGTGAAGAAGATATTGCCCAAACGTACATAATTTAGATCAGGATACCACAACGTTAAACACAAACCACTTGTTGAAAATTGTGCTTTGCATATCGAATTAGGTTTGGTAAAATGTTTCGTAAAAGCAATGAATAAAAACGGTGCTGGCTTTAAGTTTGTCTAAACAAAGTTCTCTCAAATCATTTCTGAGGCAAAGATTAAAGGTGTATTTGATGGGCCTCAAACAGAAAGCTCCTAAAAGATAAGAAATTTGAGGAAACTCTTACACCAGCTGAACACAATGCTTTGCAGTCATTTAAAGCTGTGGTTAATAACTTTCTGGAAAACAACAGGGCAGATGATTTCAAGAATCTAGTAGAAAGTCTTTTTAAGGATTTTCAAGAACTAGGCTGTTGAACGTCGTTAAAGCTACTTTTCTTGGATTCTCATCTTGACTTTTTCAAAGAAAATTTAGCCGCAGTTTCATATTCAGACCATGGAGAAGAGGTTTCAAGGTTAATAGAATGAAGCTATGAAAGACAATTATTGTTAGTTTTTAAAAAGTGACATTCAAGAGAATTATAAACGACAGTCCAAGCTCACTCATTTCTAAACACTTGTAACCATATCTTATTCATATCATGTTTTATATTTCTTCATACGAAAAACAGCATTTACACTAAAAGTGTTTTACGAATTTTCCTAGAAATTGGAATGTATGGGATAAAAACTAATGCGATTTTTGGATTTAACATGCTCTAATTAACTAGAGAGACATAATTATATCAGCTGAAAAAAAACTTTCTTAGTCTCTTACTTGACAAAAAAATTACTAATGTAGTATCTTTGTGTTGTTTTGTTAAAATTTATTTTGAAGTTAAGTTTTAGTTTTCTTGGTTTTGTGAATTTAGATCAAAGTTGTGTATTTCAGTTAAAGTTGCTTTAGGTGTTGCACTCAGTATGCATTGGTGAGTACAAGCTTTTAGCATTAAAAATACCAGCCCTTTAGACAATAAAGATCTTTCAAAATTAATTTATCCTAAAACTGATTATATTGAAAGAACCTTTCAACAAATTGACCAAAAAAAAAAAGACAATTACTACATGGTCGAAAATCAAACAGCATTTTTGCAGCTCCTAAAAAGTAAATTGTGATGTAATCATAATTCAATATTAGTAGACTTTGCTAGATTTTTGCTGAGTTTTTAATTCAAAATCCTGTACAAGGTCTACATTAGAATAATCAACCTCAATGTCAACCAAACTTGAATTATTTTGTTCTTTACTTTATGGAAAGTAATTGGGTAGAATATACAATTGTCTGTTAATCTGCAACACACTGCACACTCTGATAATCTGCAACACAATGCAAACTGTTTCATTCAGGAAGTATTAAAAAAATTAAAAAAAAGTTAATTACTCTTACTTCAACAATTACATTGCAAGGTTTTGTACAAGCTACTTCTAGCAAGGGCATATTTACAACCATTCCGATCCTTCACCTGAGAAATGTGTGATTAGTTCTAGACAATTCACCTGAGAAATGTGGGATTGGTGTAGAGAAAGTATTAATAGCATACATTTTATTTACATCTCCAATTATGCAATAATATTGCATTGTATAATTTTAAAATTAGAAGAACATTATACAAATTGTTCAAAAGAACCATGAACCAAAAACCATCATTGTTTTATATCACCATCTCTACAATTAAAAAAAGGTATTTGATGCTTATACCAACAGAAATTCCTGGAAGTGGACTCTTGATACTATTCACTTCCACCAGGAATTTAATTATAAACTTTTATAACTATTTAGCTGAAATTTATCTTAAAGCATTTATTTGAAGGATTTAATGTTTATTATATAACAATTTTTTAAATAATATATTTATTTAAATAAATACAAGTTTTATATAATAAACTTGTACATTCTGAAAACAAATCAATAACTCTTGATTCTGATTACAATTCAAATGATGACAAATCAAATAACTCTAAGTTTCTTTGTATTAGTTGTAATCTAAATTTTAACAAAATGGTAAACCAAATAATTTTGATGGATCAATATACAAAGTTAGTATTTTAAGAATTGTCAAGATGTTTTTTTTAGTTCACGGTTTGCTTTTCTCATTACAATAAACTAACTTAAGTTCCATCAAAACCTGAGATGGTCTATGTTGAACTCTTAAATTTTTGGTATCAAATATCCTTATAGAAATAAATAAGTGTATATAGAATCAATAAAAATCACTTTGTATGAAATAAATATGATAAAAATAATTATATCATTAGTTTTGAGTTTTTAATTAACTGTAAATGCAGTACAGCTAATTTAAACTCAAGTTAAAATATTAATTTGTGGTAATTCAAAAATATATTTATGGTTGACTTACTGTATTATAAATGGTTAAATATAGGTTCAAATGTTTCAAATACATTAGTATTTAAAGTAATTTACAACAAATAGTAACAAAAGTTTGATATTTATTTGGATATAAGATAATCACGCTGTAAATTTTTATTTATTGTTGATGGAAAGATTTTATTTTATCTATTTATTTTATTTAATGCTAATTTTGTTGTTTTCATTGTCAGCTGATAAATCTGATAGATTTCAATGTTATGCTAAAACCTAGTAAATTTTTAAATAATTTTTTAATTAGGTTTATTGAATAGTGACTAAGATACATAATAAGATTTTGTTTAACAAAACAAAAATTAAAAAAATAAAATTAAAAATATTAGGATAATAAAAAATTATTAAAAAATTATAATTATTTGAGTTCAAAGTAAGTTTTAATTTAGCAAGAATAAGGGGTTGCATAATACATGTACACTTGTATATTAGAGGCACACTGCTTTCTTAGTAAATTTGTGGAATAAAGTTAAACTTTATTTTCATTTAGTCAGAATCAAGTTTTGTTTAAGTTTTAGTCAATTAAAAGTTGATATTTTAGTGCAATCTTCTTCTGTTGTTTGGTGATGTCATTGATGTTTTTAGTGTTGCCATGCTGCTGTTGATGTTTATTTGAAAGCAGAAAAAAATCATAAAAAGGTTCTATAATTTTTTTAGTTGTTGTTTTTATATATTATTTATTTTAAATATGAAAAAATTAAGCTTTAGATCCTCAATATATACATTTTAGATGCTTTATTTTTCAGTGGTTGCTTGCATGGCAAAATAGCGGATGTCCAAAGGTTGCTCTTAAATGTCCTGATGAAGAAACATTGTAAGTATTTCTTAAGTTGTATATGCAAGTTTAAAGGGGAAATGTTTATTAAAATGAATACTTTTATGATAATGTTTAGCTTTTTTTTTTTTTAAAAAAAAATATGTGTTTAACCTCTCAAGGTTGAAGGGGGCCCCTACAGTTAGGGTGATTACTTTTTTTTTTTTTTTAATTGTCGTTACAAACTTTTCTCAACTCATTACATCTAAACTTGAATCTTGACTAACAACCCAACTGGCGGAAACAAGTTAATCATGGTACTATCAGGAATATGGTAGGGGTTGAATTTTCAGCTTTCTGTTTATGAAGCAAGCGTTCTACCACTACACAACTACCACATAAATTTAAATTTGATGACAGCAGAAGTTTGAGTACCAAATTGCACTTTTTTTCTATATTTTTTTAAATTTATTTTTCACTTTTACAAAATAAAGTGTATAGGAAAAAATTGTTTCACCAGAATTTAGTATTGTTAAAAAAATTTGTTGTTTTTAAAAATCAAGTTTTTTATTTTTGAAAAAACAGCAAACAACAAGTAAATTACAGGCTTTTTTTTTTTTTTTTTTGAGAGAGAGATAAAGAAAAAAGACCCTATGATTATTTTGGTTTAGATTTAAATAAAAAATTAGCCTCATTAACCCCTTAACCAACACCTAATTTTTGTGTGCAATAGCTCCAGCGTGAGGTTAATTTTTAAAAGTTGTAAGTATTATATAAAATGAACAAAAACAGTCATATTTGTAAATTAGATAAAAAGTGAATTTTAACATTGTTAGCTTAACTTAAAAGTAATATCTAAAATACCAGTAAAATTTCTTAAATCCATAATAAACTAAATAGACTATACTACAATATAAAAGTAATATTTTAATACATTATGATATTTCTCAAAGCAATGTGCAACACATAATCCAACATTACACTTTTTTGTAATAACCACATTATACTAGCACAGCTAAATACATTCGTATGTTATTAGTTGTTTTCAGATTTGGAAAGACTTAAAATGCACTTAACCTATATTGCTTTGATCTGCATGTTTTTCATTTTTACTATCTATCTACAAGTTCACTAGTGAATAAGAGTTCAAAAATCTCCAGCTGGTCATCTGCTATTACAAACACATGAATCACTATGTAAGATTTGCCTGCACATACAAATTTACTTTTTTTTTTTTTTTTTTTTTTTTGCAGCTATTTGTTGTCTTTAACTAGTTGGAACAAAAGAAACAGGCTGCGTAACAACACTTTAATTTTAAAATTTTTGCCATTTTAAAATAGTGTTTATTTTCGTGGCAGCTTTTTAATATAATTTCAGCTCTTTTATTTAACAGTTCTTCACGTTTTGGATACGATATAATAGTAAATTTCTCATAAAGATATAGTGGGCACCTTTTGGAAATATTTGAGTAGGGGGTGCAGACTTGAGAATAGACCTTGTTAGTATAGGGGTTTCGTTAAAATTGTTTTTCAAATCCTAGGCGTAGTTTTATAGAGCGGTAGACTTTTTGTATTTAACATTACTGAATTATGATTTGTGGTTGTTATACCTGGTTTTCCACTCACCTTTTTTTAATCTGAAATAAACTTTGTTGGGTTTGTTTTTTGCTGCAATGATGCATTTGTATATGTTTGTGGATTTGCACTTACCATTCAGGGGGCATTCTGCTTTGTTTCAGTTGCATTTTGGTTCATAATTTTCAATTGTTAGAAAGATTTTTTTTTTGTTCTAGTTTTTTAGAATTTTTTCTATATTTTCAGTGCAACTGTAGCTTACCTATTCAGTGTTTCTGTTTAAGATTTTGTGAGGTTTGTGTGTCTTAGAATTATTCTTGATTTTTGTGCCTTTAGGCCTGATGATTGTAATAACACATGAAACTCAGAGTTACGGCTTAGGGTTTATTAATAGTAATGAGGCTATTGCTTAGTTGTTAAATAGTGTACTGAGTACTATCTATACTTGAGTCAAGTTCTCTATAAATTTAAAATGACTAAAGTACCTAAAACTAAAAAACACAAAAAACCATTGTCATCACCAAGTTCTCTAAACCTATCATTTACTAATATTCGTGGTCTTCAAAGTAACTTTTCTTCTGTTGAGTCTTATCTCTTGCAAAGTTCACCAGACCTACTTGCTCTTTGTGAGACTAATTTGAGTTCGGCTGTCCCATCTTGTGATCTTAGTGTTGATGGTTATCTTCCTTTAATTCGTAAAGACTCCAATAATCACATGCTTGGCCTGGGCATCTACATTCGTAAGAACTCACCCATTTGTCGTGAAACTAGGTTTGAATCTACTGACTATTCTTTTATGTGCTTTCGTTTAGCACCACTTCACTCTATTGTCTTTCTCTTTGTTCTATATCGCTCTCCTTCATCCCAAGATTGCTATCGATGTTATTTCTGATCAAATTGACCAAGCCCTCTCTCTTTATCCATCGGCCAATATCGTCGTTGTTGGTGACTTTAATGCCCATCACACCGATTGGCTTGGCTCTAGTGTCAGTGACTCTGCTGGCGTTAAGGCCCTCAACTTTTGCCTTTCTCAATCTCTAACTCAAATAGTCAACTTTCCAACTCGCTTTCCAGACAACTCTAATCATTTACCTTCTCTACTCGACTTATGTCTTGTTTTGGATCCTAGTCAGTGCTCAATTTCTCCACATTTACCCTTAGGTGCTTCTGATCACGGTTTGATCTCTCTAAAACTATTATCAAATTCTTCTACTTCATCAGAATCCCCCTATCATCGTACCACATACAACTACCTCAAAGCTGACTAAGACTCTTTCCGTGATTTTCTTTGTGATGGCCCTTGGGTAGAAATGTTTCGTCTACCTGCTGACAAATGTGCTTCTTACATAACTTCATAGATTCAGGCTGGAATGGAATCTTTTATTCCCTCTCGACGATTCCAGGTCAAGCCTCACTCTTCTCCTTGGTTTTCCTCACATTGCGCTGCAGCAATTTTTAATCGAAACCGTTACTTCCATATCTATCAGCAAAACAATTCTCCAGAAAACAGACATCTGTTCACTATCGCCAGAAACCATTGTAAAAAGGTTTTGTCTGATGCCAAAGTTCGCTATTCTCAGGTCATAAAATCTCGTATCTCATCACAAAAATTAGGCTCTCGAGACTTCTGGAGAATCTTTAACAATATCAATAATAAGGGCAAATCTGTTATTCCTACTCTCTTGTATGGTTCAGACTTTGTCACCTCACCTAAAGACAAAGCTGAATTGTTTGCTAAGAACTTTTCATCAATATCATCTCTCGATCCCACTAATTGCGTTCTACCTGACATAGCCGTCAAACAGGTTGATCCCTTGCTTGACATTCGCATCACTTCAGCTTCTGTATCAAAAGTAATCTCCTGCTTAGACTCTTCAACAGCTTGTGGTCCTGACAACATTCCTGTTGTAGTCTTGCAGAAGTGTTCTCCGGAGCTTTCATCCATACTTTCAAAACTATTTAACAAGTGCTTATCAGAGTCCTGTTTTCCATCATGCTGGAAAGCAGCATCTGTTATCCCTATTTTCAAAAATTCCGGAGAGCGATCTGATTCATCTAACTACCGTCCCATTAGTCTTCTTCCTGTCATAAGCAAGGTTTTTGAATCTTTAATCAACAAACACTTAATCTCTCATCTTGAATCAAATAACTTACTTTCTGATCATCAATATGGATTTCGATCTTCTCGTTCTACAGCTGATTTGCTAACAGTAATAACCGATAGGTTTTACCGTGCATTAGATAGAAGTGGAGAGGTTAAGGCTATCGCACTTGACATTTCTAAAGCTTTTGATAAAGTTTGGCATGCTGGTCTTCTCCATAAGCTTTCTTCTTATGGTGTATCTGGTAACATCTTTAAGATTATTGAGTCCTTTCTTTCCAATCGTAGTATAAAAGTTGTCCTCGATGGACAACACTCTTCTTCATATCCTGTAACTTCAGGGGTTCCTCAAGGTTCAATCCTTGGCCCTATACTCTTTTTAATTTACATTAACGATCTCCCAGATATTCTCACATCTAAGGTGGCATTATTCCCTGACGACACTACCATTTACTCTTGTCATGATAAGAAGCCTACACTCTCTGATTGCCTGGAGGGGGTATCTGAGCTTGAAAAGGATCTCACTTCTGCTACAGCATGGGGGTCACAGTGGCTGGTGAACTTTAATTCAGATAAAACTCAATTTTATTCGGCCAATCGTTATCGTAATAATTTAGATCTTCCTATATTTATGAATGGTAATGTACTAGATAAGTCATCTACCATTCATCTTCTAGGATTAACTCTTACTTCTGATCTTTCTTTTAAACCGTATATCAAATCCATTGCAAAATTAGCATCTGCTAAGGTTGCATCTCTTTATCAAGCTTGACACTTTCTTACTCCAGATTCTATTCTCTATCTCTATAAATCTCAAATCCGTCCCTGTATGGAATACTGTTGCCACATCTGGGGCGGATCTTCTAATGATGCCCTTTCTCTTTTAGACAAGGTGCAAAAACGCATTGTAAACATAGTTGGACCTGCTCTGGCAGCCAATCTCCAACCTTTGTCACATCGTTGTGATGTTGCTTCTCTTTCTCTTTTCTACAAATACTATAATGGGCACTGCTCTAAAGAGCTAGCGTCTCTTGTGCCATCTACTAAAATTCATTCTCGTGTTACTCGTCATTCAATTAAGTCTCATCCTTTTTCTGTGACTGTTCCTAAGTGCTTCAAAAACTCTTATTCTTCTAGTTTTTTTCCTCGAACATCAGTTCTTTGGAATTCGCTTCCTTCATCTTGCTTCCCTGATTCATATAATTTGCAATCATTTAAGTCATCAGTCAATCGTTATCTTGCTCTACAGATTTAGTCTTTTCTCTTCCAGTAACTTCCAACTCTTATAGTGGTTGCTTGCAGCCTTGTTGGAAGTGAAGATGTTAAAAAAAAAAAAAAAAAAAAAAAAGTTGCTATATTTTATATTATATTATAAACATTAGCAT